GCCTTATATGTTGATATGTTTCACTCTCTGAAGGATATCTGTAAATGATAATGGTCAGTGGGCTGAATAGGAAACAAGATGAGCAGGACACACTGTGGAAGCTAGTGGAGAACAGAGAAAAGAGGACATGGAGAATGCAGTATGGACAATGAGGGCAGAGAGAGACCAGCTCCTCTGTGGTCTGTGCTGCAACACACAAAGAGAACTGATTTCCATCAGAAAAGCCTTCCTGAGGGCGCCCGGTTAGCTTAGTCGGAAGAGCTGGCGACCCATGTACGGAGTTGCTGCAGCGGCCCGGGTTCAAATCCGACCTGCAGCCCTTTGCTGCGTGTCATCCCCTCTTTATCTGCCCCCCTTTCCTGTATATCTTCAGCTGTCACTATACAATAAAGGCAATAAAATGCCAAAAAAAATAAAAAAACATCAACATAAATATAAGTTTAAGTACAAATTATGTAAAATGTACATGATAAATTATAAATGTGTGTAGATTACATTCTATATACAGTGGGAAGAATCAGACCCTGAGATTGACTGTAAACGTCCCAATATGGGAGAACATGACACAGCACCAGAGATATGCAGATACTGCATACCACTGCACAACCGACCCTTCCTGCAGGACAGGAGAAAGTTAAGCGAGGTTCAGTCCGAGGCTTGCTCAGCTGTTTTTGGAGCACAGAGCAAAGAGCACCAGCACCACGCTTTCAAATGCAGTCTAAACCAATTAAGTGAGTACAAACAGTCATTGCACACAGAAAGGAGACTGCAGTCTGTCAGCCATTTCCCAGGAGGCTCCCTGTCACTCAGTTGTAGGAAGTGAAATGACACTGCTGTTTGAGGCACTCCTCAGAGTTACCATGCTCCTCCCATTCCTCCTCGTTCTCATCCTCACTGTCAGACTCATCATAAAAGCTGATGGTTGCCTGAATGGGGAAGTTCCTGAGCAGGGCCTCTCCGTCGCTGTACAGATAGTCAAATGACTTTGATTTGGGCCAGAACAGCCTGTTTGAGAGACAAAGGATAAGTTAAGTATTAAGTTTAGGAGTTTATTGGATGAAAAGCAAGAAATTGATCAAATTGCAGTAAAATCAAACTACGCTCTCAAGTGTTTGGTGGATTTCATGCACAATTTCTGTGCTGACAGAAGGCAGACTCAACATGTGAGATGATACTGACCTGACAGGGTGCTGGAAGGCCTGAGATTTCCAATCTGATGAAACGCAGCCTGGCACTGTTGGTCTGGAGTAAGGCTGAGAGAGTCAGAGACAAAGGAGTGAGTGCATATTGTTACTGCTGGGTGTTAACATCAGTACTTCAGAACTGTTGATTTATGTGTACTCAAACAGTAGGATTGCTTTCTCTTCCACATCAGCTGAATCTGCAGCTCCTTTTTGGTTTTACATAGTGAGTTTCAGCTCTAAAAACCCTCTGTCCACTAACTGCTCAGCACCAAATAGCAGACAGACACAGTTAGAGGCCAGTGCTGGTCAACATAGTGGAGCATTTAGCAGCTAAATCGGTGCCATAGGCCAGAAACAGTACTAAAAGAGAGTGAATATTGAACAGACATTCATCAGTTAGACACAAACACAACTCCAAATGAGTGATGTTTCGTTGTAACTGATGGATGTGGAAATGAGCAACTGTTTGCTAACAAGTTAAGCATATCAGCTGAAAAGGTGATGATTCACAACTTGTGAATCCACAAGATGGCCAAAAAAAATCACTTACTTAAGATTGGAATTTTTAGTGTGATTTGGTTTAAGAAAAAAAGCAACACAGAAAGAGAAAGAAACTACAATCTATCTTGCCTCCTGTGAGTGACGCAAACCCAAACTGTGACTGCACAAACACCTACACACTGTGCTATAGTGTGGAGATCACTATTATGCCTCTGTCACTTTGCCTTTTCAAATATAGTGACAAACGCCTTTACAATGGAACTGTTAAGCTCTCAGATGGCAGTCAGATGGCCAGCAAAGCGTTGACACATTACAGGCTGAGGCGGCAACGAGCTGGCACGTCACTCAGCGTGTGAAGGGGGGGTGCGCTCTCCAGAGGGACTGTGGGAACTTCCCCTCAGCCAGTTTCTCCCCAGAGCTGTTCCTTTTGGCATATTTGCCCTGACATGCAGTAAGCAACACAGCTTTTGGGAGGGGAGTGCTGCCTTTTCTAACTACACTGCAATCTTCCTGATAACATTAAAAACTAATCTCATATTAATAATAACATAACAATTCATCAAGAGACCTTACTGTGCCTTTTGGTCATGTGCCAGTGCAGCTGATGTTGAAAATTAATAAAATTTGACTGCAAATAGTTTCCCACCCTGGTTGTCACTCAGTGTGTGTTGGCTTCCTGCAGGTGCTAGCAGGCTTATGCAGGAGGACAGCAGCCATGTCCTCTCTAAAGGTATGATCTACCAATCTTGAAACTAAATGAGCAGCCACTCCTCCAGTCACCCTGGTGTGTTACCTCTTTGTAAATTCAATTAGATTCACTCAGTTTTGGGGTCATAGAGAACATTAGAAAGAATTGTTGGGATTTTGTAGAACTCTTATTCTTCATTCTTGTATGACTATTTGTAACTGCAGCCCTAACCCTGTGTTCCATATGCACCAACCAGACATGCATGATGAGAAATGTTGTTTTGTTTGATTCGTCAGACATTTTGTCTATCATGGTATCTTGAAAACCAATACTGCCAATTGCTAGCTATGAATGAATCAATGACATCAGATCAGTAGAGGTGTAGTAACTTACAGAGGACAGCCTGCTCCGTGGGAATTGCTTGGGTCCGTCCCTGCTGCTGGATAACCAAGGTCTCCACAGTGAGGGCTGGCTGCAGGAGGGGGGGGGGCACAAGTGAGGACTGATTAGAACAGAACAAATCCTTTATTAAACTACAAAACTACTAAAATAGGTCCACCTGGACTTGGATACTTTGCAGTCCAACTGATCCTGGGCTACTGTATAAAAAAAAGCTAAACACACACTGCTGAGATACATTTGGCTTAGGATCACATCACAATCAGCTGCTACTGTCGCACAGCAACCTTTTGGACTAGTTTAGCTAATTAACTAACTGTTAGCTAACTTCAACACACAATGTATGTTAACTGCTATAACGCTAGCCGTGGTGTGTTAAAATGTGCGTCAGAACGAAACAAGTCACTACCACTAACTTAGAAGCAGCTGCTTTAAGCTAACACAACGCAGGCGACACTGATTCAAACTGCCATGAAGCTGAAAGTGGCTTTTAGCAACTGATATGTTTGCTTTAGATAGTTAGCAATTCTCGGTTACAATCAACATTTCTGCTCTCGACTTCAAATGCAGTCCTGAGACCGGTACCAACCTGCCGCTTGTGTCCGAGCCGCTGCTCACTGTCAGCGGGGGCGACCACCGGACTGTGCCGAACAACGGCTGCTGGAGGAGCAGGCGGGCGGAACTCATCCTTCTTGCTTCTTTTCCCAAGGAAGTTCTCCCGTGACACCTCCGATTTAAATATAGAAATATATCCGAGAGGACTGGAGTTTTGTTCCCTCTCATGTACAACTGGACTGCCGCAGCTGGAGCAAACGTTACATAGAGATGTAGTGCTGTGACAGAGAGACTACGCTCGATAGCAATGTTAGGGGTTTATAAAGCCCTGGTGCTCAGAAGTGGGTGGGTGTGTGTGTGTGTGTGTGCTCGCTGCAGTTTGGAGGGAGGGGCACAGCACCCCGGGGTGACAGATGTTGTCAAATGACAAATGATGGATTCAGAGTTGACTTTCTTCACTAATGATAAAACAATGATGGATAGTATTATAGTGTGATGATTATATCGTGTGCCACACTGTGAACGTGCACATTCCTGTACAAACTGTACAGCTCTTCATTCATTTATTTAAATAAATGTCAGCTCGTGTCTCTTTCTATATTTGTACATATTGGCTCTCTTTATTATCTCTATTTCATCAAGTTCTTTGTACACTGTAAATTTACATCGAAGATTTACAATGTAGCCTATGTGAAAATCTACTTCTGATTCTGATTTTAAGGTGCAGCAAGTCCTCTGCGCTTTTAAAGATCCCAGACATGTATTAATACACAGTATACAAATGCTGCTTGGATCAAAAATCTGTATCTGATGTTTTTCTGCAGAAAAATATTTCCACCCTACAAAAATCCTTGTTTTTATTTAGGGGAACAAAATATTCAACCCTCCACTAACTCAGCACCAAATAGCAGACAGACACAGTTAGAGGCTAGTGCTGGTGAACATAGTGGAGTATTTAGTAGCTAAATAGGTGCCATAGGCCAGAAACAGTACTAAAAGAGAGTGAATATTGAACAGACATTCATCAGTTAGACACAAACTCTAAATGAGTGATGTTTCTTTGTAACTGATGGATTTGGAAATGAGCAAATGTTTGCAAACAAGTTAAAAGCTAAAAAGGTAATGATTCACAACTTGTTTCTGTTGCCTCAAGGTGTAAGTAGTAGTAACCTGTAATCCTGACAGTAGGACATGGGATGATCTGTGAAAAAACCTGGTTCCTCTGGGTCCTTCTTCGCTTTGTTCAGGCCTGGTGGAATATTGCAAATGCCATTAGGAGCACTAGGATATAGTGAAAGTTTAAGAAAATATCGCAAAGGGTTATTTTTATAAAAACCACCTACTGCAGCTTTAAGTGTGCAAAGTGAAGGACACTTTCCCTCAGCCTGTGGAAGATTCACCGTAATCTTATGATTTATGGGCTATATTAGGATTGAGGATATAGACCTAAAGGTCAAATAATCCTGTTACATTAATACAGCCTGTTGTAATGGCGAGTAAGTGGCCCCCTAACATCCATGTAGCCTGCAGTGAAGTGTGCGCACTATAATGAACCTGTAACTGACGTGTAATCAGTATAATGGGGCTTGTGCTGATGATCTTCATGGATGGCTGGTGTTGTTCTAATCTCAATCTAATTTTCTCTTGTTAATTAGTTTAGTGATGCTCCCTGCTGCCTTTCTCACAGATGGTGTCTAACTTTTCTCCTCCTTGTTTTCACAGACAACCCGGCGGTTTGAGATCTCTCACCGCCCCGCAGCGCCGCGCTGTTTGGTCAAGACAGGAGGCTTCACACCAAATTGCTCCTCGAAGAGGGCAGCAGCAGACTGCAGGGCTGAGGAGCGTTACTGGACCAGCATTCAGAACAATTAAACACTTTTTTATCAGCGTGGTAATCCAATAAAGGATGCACGATTTAGGATAGGTCTATATTGATTTCATTAAACCAAAACCCACGCCATTCGGATTGTTTCTTCTCTTATCGCAACTGATGGAAATGAAAGAATACACACTACCGACAAATAGACTGCTTTATTAATTTCAATTATATTTGTAATTATTTTTGAGCATTTACTTGGTATTGGTAACACATTGTAAGGGTAACAATGAGAAACCTATACTTAATACTGATAATGCATGAGTCATGATTGTCAGCATGAGTGAATGCAGGATGCATGAATTCCTGTTGCTCACCACTAATCAAATGATGACTTTTTGTGTTTGGTTCACACCTAATAGATCAAAGTTAATGAATGTTAATTCACAGTTTTTTTTATTGATATGCGACCAATTATGAGTTCCTCTTAAAATATACATGTGTGTCATTGAAAGCAGTTGATCTTAAACATGTCTGATTATTCTCCTCTGATTTGTCCTTTATGTTGTAAATGTGTAAAAAAATACAATTGGGATTATTCTCATAGAAATATGATTTTTCAAATCAGGGAAGCTGAGCAAATGTAACTGTATCACAAATTAAATTTTCACTGAACTATTAAAATCATGATGATTGATTTATGATGACCAAGGCCTCTCTACAGAACTGCACTATAATGCTGTTTGTCACACATTTTACATTTAACAAAAAAAATTGCAGTTTCTGGGATTTGCAGAAATTTGCAGAATCACTTGGCCAAATTGCATTTCGATAATATTGAGATAAATTGTGCAGCTGATGTAGCTATTTAAGAAGAGTGCAATCTATTACAGTGGGTGTGAGGATCCTCACTCGCCGCCTACCCTAATGGGTCCTAATGTGCCCTAATGGCCCTTTCATTTTGGGTAAACAAAGCTATTAGGGGTCAGCATGAACCATGTGATGCCCCGCCGAGAGCCAGAGAAGAGCAAATTAGCGCATAAGGCACAAATGGGCCTGACGTAATAGGACTGCGCTAATAGAGATACCAGCGTGCACAAATACACGCTACTTTAGTCAAAGCATGTGCTAATTAAGAGGGCTTTATCTACACTAACACACATATGGCATGGTTAATTTAGTACGGGAACAAAGATACCAAGGGTGCCCAAACTTTTTCCCAAAATTAAACACCTACTGTACTGTATTGTATTGAATGCAAAATTAAAATTAAATTCATAATAATCCTATATATTTATAGAGCCCTGTTCCTCACCAACAAATGCATACATAGTGATTCATTCAATATATATATTTTAATTAAATATGTTTTGTTTTTTCACTAGAAACATCTGGCAGGCCAAATCAAACCTTATGGTGGGCTAACTTTGGGTAGCCCTGACACAGACTTTAACATAAAATGAGAAAAACAATGAATATTACAGAATATCAAAGGACAAATTAGAATAGGACATGTCCACTAGAAATAACATACTCAAGTTAAGTTAATACTCATTTCTGATTAGCAGCAGAAATCATGTTTAGATTCCTGAAACATTGATCAGTCAAATAGTTCACTGAATTTAGTTAGGTCATTAACTAGGTCACTTTCAAACCCTGACATTACATTCTTGTCAAGAATCAGCAGCAGAATCTTTAATGAGGATGGCAAAGTAAAAGTCTGAGAGAAAACAGCTGAAAAATTTTGGATCTGAATTATTCATCCTGTTTCCAGCTCATAGATACTGATATGATCTGATGAAAGCCTCTTATATACAGTATTTTTCAGACATAATCACGTCGGCTCTGAACTGATACATATTGAAATTGCTTCAGATATTATGGAGCAAAGATGTTCAGGGATTAAAAAAATTGTGAGGTACTTATGAACTACATATGTGTGTTTTGTACCTTTATTTATTTTGTAGCAGTGTTTTTGTTGGGACCTCATGATGTATCATGATCATAAATTGATTGTGAAGCTGACTACTACTACTAATGAAATAAAAACAAATATTTATTGGAACCTCTATACATTAAACAAAAATTTAAACATGTCAAAGTGAAAACACTTATTTCCAACTTGATCCCAAGATGTTCCCAAAATTAAACAACACAGTCCTTAAATCTAAAAGCACATCACTACAAATAATAAAATATAAAATGACTCCTACATCAGAAAACAAGGACAGCTAAAATAAAAACATACATTTTATAAAAATGTAAACCTGACTTCTATAAGCCCCTCTCACATTGAAAGATGTGCTGTTCCACAACATGGTGCCAGTGTAAAAACTGGCTACATTATTCACCCAAGGCACAAGCCTGTCTGTGTCTGTACTTTTGAATTCTCCATCTTCTACCCTCTGTCCCACTCTTTGACTCTGCACCAAATTGGACACCAGCTCTTTACACAAAAGTTTGTCCATTCTTCCAAATGTTCTACTCTCCACAACAGAGCCCTGGAAAAACAAGGAACGACACACTTGTTTACCATTCCTCATCTGTGAGTGTGTGTACCCCCACTGTTTTCACAATTGCTGACAGCACAGACAGGGCCTCATCTCCCCTGGAGTGAGCAATGCTGCTAATCAGTGACCAACTGTTCTCTTGTCTTGTGTACATAGGCCTACTTTTTTTTAAACCAAGTCTTTATCTTTGTTTGACCTCAGAGTCAAAAGCATAGTTAAAAAAAAAAAAAGAAATATAAATATCATCCAACAATCAACTATATTTATGAAGAAATAATAAATCAATTTGTTTGACTTTAGTGTACTTTTTCTTCACCCTGAAACAGGTACTGAGCCTAAACATCGTAATCTTCAACACAAACATTTGTAATTAGTCAGGAACATATAAAGCACAGATTATGAAGTCATGATAATTTGTTAAAATCCCCAAATTCTCCTAAAGACGACATGACCTCAGTGTTCAGTTCAATTTTCTCATTAACAACAAAAGATTTTCAGCCTCACTGTGACCCCATGTAAAACTGATCTGGTGTCAGTTGTCACTGTGCAGTAAGTCAGGACACCCTTTTGCTGTAGGTGAGGGTCACTTGTTTTCCAGTGAGGTTGGATGGAGAAGTGAGGAGCTCTAACACCTCTGGTCTCATTTGACGAGGTGTTGGGAGTCAAACTCCACAACCCCAACCGCAACACACACACACACACACACACACATAAAACTGCTGATTCGGTCAGTGACAGTGGTGACTGAGTATAGTCAGTTCAGTTTCTTTTAAAGATTTTTTTGTACTCTCTATCCAATACAAACTACTGTATGTTGCACTTTCAAAACAGTGCGCCTATAACTCAGCATTTCGTTCATTTCTGTGAAGAAAACTAAATGAAATTGTTATATTATTATTAAGATCTAAACTTTGAAGAGCTGAACACAAGCTATATTCACAAAGCTTTCACTTCCTGATAAACAGCCTCGTCCAGCAAACAATCAAAAAGCTAATAGAACAATGGCCATGCACCAGGGACAAGAAAACACTAAATTTGTCTAAAAAAGAAGCCCATAATTGTAGAATTGTTAAAAAGTAGACTAAATAGACAAAAAAATTGATCTCTGATCAATATTCACAGAAAATTCTGCTCAAAATTCATCCAAATCACTGGTTTTACA